ACAATAATTTCATATATAAAAATAATTTACAAAATAAAAAAATAAAAGACACAACTTATCTCACAATCATTCTCAAGCAAATCCCTAGAAGTTTTCTTGAAGCACTTTCTCTCTTTATAAGCACTCTCAATTCTCTCTTGGAAGTGTAATGAAAAAGAAACCTCTCGCTTTCCCTTTCCTCTTACAACCCTTGAAGAAAATCTCCAAGTGCTTGACTCTCTCTCTTACTTTCCTCTCACTGTTCACCATAAAAAACTCTTCTTTCTCACACTACACTCTTACTCTCACGCCACACTCTTACTCTCATGCCATACTGCTTTGCCCTATAATTCCCTCTCTTTTATTAGATACTACCACCCTCCAATAAGAATTCAAAATTCCCTCCAAAGTTCTCTAAAAAAGTTAAACCTTTTGAATTTCAAAAAACATGTCAATTGATTCAAGATACATATCCCTTCATTAGAGAAACTCCTAAACTGTCTAGATACATTGAATCACTTAATGAGGCGTTTGAAACATTTGGAACCTTCAAAACTCGAGCAAAATTTGTCCCGAACCGCCTTAATTTATCAAGTGTTATCTCTAAATCAACGCAAGTATACGCTCACTCAAGTAATAAAGGGCTCTAATGGAGTTTGAGATATTGATCCCACAGAGAAGTTGGAAAATACTAAAAGTAAATTATGAAAATTATTTTATAATCTAAAACTACTCAAGTGAATGCTAATTAAAATGCAGATGTAAGACTATAGAAGTTAAACTAAACTAAATACTAAACTTCCAAAACTAAAATTATGAAAATTAAACAAAGTTTTTATTGTGATGGAAGTTCAAATTTAAGAAAGCATCCTTCTCCATTACGATTAGTATATGGATTGTGAAGAAATTGAAATCATTTGAAAATATATATAAAAACTGTTTTGTGTCAAATAGGAGCAATCTTATTCTTTACCCTGTTTCAAGTGCATAAAAAATATTGAATAATCCAGAGTTTGGTCCCTAATTCCGTAGTTAGGTTGGGAGGATACCGACTCTCACTTCTCCCTCGCCTGAGGGTTCACAATCTTGCATTAATTTCCAATCAATTGAACCAAATTAGGGATTTTAATCTGCCACCATAAAATCTCCAATTCTACATCCAACAAAGTATATTTCCCTATTTATTTACACTTCACCCCATTGATAACATCCTCACTCATGAAATTGAATGTGATTCTCATAATGTTGTAGAAATCACAGCCTTTTTGGATCATAGATTTCTCAACATATTTTAGCATTTCGATTGGCTAGATCGAAAAGTAAATGAAGATCAGAGTTCAAATCATCATAAATGTTTGACATTTAAAACCGTAAAAAACAAATCAATTCTTCATAAAATAATATCTCAGAGTTGGGAGAAAGGATAAAGAAGACTACTAAGAATTCATGAAAAGGATTGTCGGCACTATTTTTGGCGTGGGGTTTGCCCGTAAGAAGCTGTCGGTCATCGGAATTGAAATCTCGTTGCCTGCTTCGGAAGGATGTTTTAAAAAATTTAGTTTTGAAAAAGATGAAGTCAAACTGACCCCATAATTTTTCTAGTTTAGATGAAAGAGTGCTTTATCTCAAATCATGTATCTATTCCGAAGGATGAAC